TGGTACATTTCTTTACCGTTCTCTGCAAGACAGCAACGTGAAATGACCAAATTTTGGGTTGTCTAGAGAACGTGAACCACGACGGCTAATTTTTAAAATTTTTATCTCAAATTTATCGCTGTGTTCCGGATTTAGTTTTGCGGTAGTTTTGACAGTGACAAACAAAGCAAATGACTTTAGAGTATCACGAGATTCGTAGATAAAATATAAATTCAGTTTTTAATTGACGTTTTCCTCGGCGTCGCAGAACATGCCACGCTGTCTTTGTTGTCCACACACACGGTACACGTGTAGCTACAAACAGGTCTCAAAAGTTTGCCGCCGTGCGTGTTGTTACCCTGAGATGAACCCTCTTTCGATTTCCTGTAAACATTCGTCACCAGCAGGAACATTGTCGTGTTCCGGTATATCTGTTTCCCGGATCTGTTTCACATTTAAGCATGACACATTCCGGGAAAATTCTATGACAGAGCAATATGGTGTAATAGTTCTTCACGGGACAATGCTAAGAAAATGGAAGAATAAAACGTGGTATGCTTACTATTGTGAAAACCGCTGTAAAATCCAGTCTCGGACTAAAAATTCCCAAATTGGCAAAGAGCTCTTACAAAATGACGCACTTCCTTTTAATTTACGCCCCCACACACACCCCCTTAAGTAACCAATGAAATTCCGTCTACGAATCATCGACAACCATGACAACAAGCATGGTCGAAGAAAAGAATGGACTTTGACCTTCCAACTTGTTTTTTCTGATCCATATTTATTGAGAATTTTACGTCAAATTAAGCAAGAACAACACGGCTACCCAATCAGTATTGTTTCAAAACTGGTTTGGTCGCAAGCGAAAAAATAAAAATAGAAACAACTGATCCAAAGAACGCCAATCTCGTCACGCCTGATTAATATCTGCGCAAGTCACGTCACAAAATCCTGTTTCTGTGTAGTGTATTAGCAATCCCTAAACCTGAATTGCTCAATTCCAGCTGATGCCATATAAAGGAGACTTACTATCTCTATCTCTCTTTCTGAGAAATCAAGAGTTTGACCTTGGAAGACCGCCAACGAGAATAAGAGACACACGTGTACTTGATTCTCACCTTCATTCGTTCGCGCGTTCAGGTTCGCGGGTGCCGCCATAGACTCTAGTTTTTCAAAACATCGATAAAGATGCATACCAAACCAGGACAGAGAGAACCGACCGTCTTGGTCAAGTTTGTAAGCGCTGGGTTAGCTGCCTCTGTAGCTGAGGCAGCCACTATTCCGATAGATACTGCGAAAGTTCGACTGCAGGTAAGTACGTTTATAGCATATTATTTTCTTGTGGTCGACCGATAAGGTTTCGATTTCAAAACTACGCTGAGAGAAAGAGCTTCGTTGGTAATTGACCACAGTCTCATTGCGCAAAGTGCGTCATTATATTTTAAATCAGCAATCGAAGCGTCTAAAATACCGACTTAAAAATAGTATTTGACAAACATGAATAAATGGCCGTTGCTTCTTTTGTGTCAGTCTGGTAAAATCTGTAAAGTGTTCTGAACAGCCACCCACATGGATCTACATCAAATTTGAAAGGGTACTCGTCCGCGTATTATAAAATTATTCCAGAATTTTCCACATTTTCCCTAAACAATAGCCTTACAGACTGTATATACAATAAACGACATTTGTATCTTCCAACCATAGTAGGAGATGGACCGATTTTCCTTCGTAGCCGGAAACAAAACTTTAGTCAGTTTAGTGTACATGTACGTGTGTGACGTGTCGCACGTAAAGCCAACAATTTCCTTCGTTGTTTTAAATAATGGTAACGTTGTATTATTTGGCTTTTAGTAAGCCCTGTGTGTGCGGTAATATAGCTTGCAAGTGGGCGAAAACGTTTTGCTACAAGAACATGTAACGTCATCAGGGGGAACTGGTTTGACTTTGTAAATGTCAATAGGAGACCTTTAATAAACGTCGAACACACTCTCACAATCTTCGATTATTGGTTTATAAAAAGGTAGTGGAATGAGAAACAGATTACAGAAATTGTATTGAATTGTACTGTTTTAATACAAAATTATACTGTTTTAATACAAAAAAAAATTTAACCCAAGTTCATGATCACGGGTCTATGACTTATCTGTATTTTCCAAGAAAACTGGAAGGACACACATCGTCCACAAATTAATGTTTTTCAATTGACTAACTACTGTAAGCCAGTTAGAATTGCATAGAAAGCTGTGTTGTTTTCAGGGAACATGTAATCCCATCCACAGACTCGTACAAGTATTTCTCAATTTACTAAATGTTTTCATTGTTTATGCTTCCATTGTTTACACTTGAATCTCGTAATCTACAAATAAGCTTTTGAATGCTCAGTGCATCCTTTAAGCCCTTAACATGCTTGGTGATTTTTCACATTTTTGATTGCCAGTAAAAATGGCGAAGCAAACTTGGTCACTTCCTTAAATGGGCACATTTTAATCGTAGTTTTAAATTTTTAGCAAAGTTAAATTTAAATACACGACCCCACAAGTTTTTAGCTTTAATTATTATCGTGTTTAAATAAAGTTAATCTATCTATCTATCTACTGACTATATGCTTTTTTTTTCTGTTTTTTGAGGTTGATCTCAAATCTTACAATGTTGATCAACCAAATTTGATGGCAAAGCAACCAAAAAGAGTATATTTGATCATTAAAGCCTCACATACATAATGTGCACGGTCAAATACAAAATGTCCAAGAAATTACCTTGAAGTGCTATATTTAGCCATTTTAGGTTTTCGGGCAATTCTTTTCACAGCCTGCAGAACAGGCGGATTAGCGGGCTCTAGCACGATACACGAGCGCACGCATGAAGCGTGAGAATGAGCGTGAAGCGTGAGAACGAGCGCGAAGCATGAGGCGAGAAAAATCTGCCTGTAGTCACACCATTGGTTATGCTCTTCCAAGCATTTGCCTGGCAAACAGTTTTTGCTGATTGGTTGCTTTAAGCCATGTGAGGTCAGACACGAGAAAAAAAAATGTGAAGGTGAATTAATCAACATGACACGAGCGTGGGACAAAGAAAAATTCTGAGTCCCCGACAGGAATC